TTTTGATCAATCACGTGAAATGATGTTATTAATTTTGTAAATTATTTTATAATAGAAGTAATTACATAATGATAACACAACTTGATTTAAAAAAAACTTTATATAATTGATTTAATTATAATATTTTGATAATCTTAATTGCCAATAAAGTTAGTTTTCAAATTTTTAGAAGCATGGGTTAGTTTTCAAAATACACAATTTTTTTTGTAATATTTTTACAAATTTCTTCGTATTAAAATGACGGTTTTGGTTCGCTTATCTTGATAGGTAGTCTTGCTTCGTAAAAGGAGGAATCGCTAATCGTTAGTTTTGGATTCGTATATATTGTCAGCTTCGATTAGCTTAGATCGTCTAGTGTTTAAAGAGCTTGGTTGGTGTTTCAACTTGTTTCTCTCATTTGGGCTTAGTCTCCGGGGTTTTACAAGTTTACCACCGGCTCAGCTTCCGGAATGTGCTCCGGCTTTGTATTCCACTCTCGTATCCCACCCTTGTATTCGATCTTTGTATTCCACCATGTTTAATATAATAATTCAGATGACAACAAAAAAAAATGACGGTTTTCGTCAGATCATTTGCTTTTCTTTTTTTTGGTTAGATTTTTGCTTTTTTGGTGTTTGTGGGATAACATTTGGTGTGGGCTACATGAGTTCATGAACGGCCCATTACTATATCCTTCATGTTCAATATGGCCCAAACTCGGTCCATATTAATGTCAAGAACAACAAATGTTTGTATGACAACAATATGGTATTTATTTCCTCTTCATTTGTAAAGGTTTTTTTTTTAATAGGGTTCAATTGTAAAGTTGTATTGGTAACACTGGGGAGGAAATACCATAATGTCGTACAAACACTTGTTGTATTTCAACTTTCGTTAACATGCAAAAATCAAAATCTTCATATTCCTTTAATAAACCACAGAAATATATGTTTTGGTTTGAAGAATTTGTTTTTTATTGTATATGGTGAAGATGAAAACCCATTTGGGCACAATTCATGGAGGAACTAATTAACTTTAAACTAAATATATTCCTTTTAAGAAAACAAATATTTGTGATACTGATAGTTATCCAAAACAACTATTGCAATCAAACAAAACTACATATTTTAAGTAAAAATATCGGAATAATTAGCTGTAAACATTTGTTGTTACTACTTGTTAGCATGAACATGTTGGTTTTTGTTTTTGTTTTTGTTTGTGCTAAAAATACATACATGTTAATAACAACTAAACATATTTGGTCCCCCCTTGAAACCGAGTAAAATGACCAAAGTGCCCTTTTGTTTGCAACTAAAAAAGACGAATCAAGACCGCGGACGAAAAGCGTCAAAAGTCAAGCCCCCGTGAGAAATCCTCGTAGCCGGAGGCCAAGCATTGACCGGCGAAGACCGGGGGTTCGCTGACATGGCAGCCTGTGGCTGTGCTGGTGGTGGAAACGACACGTGTTCACACGAAGGGCACATGGTCAAAGTTGTGGGTGGGCTCATGTGCATGTAGAACTGTGGTGAAAGTTTAAGTGCCCTTAACTCCGTTACTTCTTTCTGTAACCGACGGTTCTCTTCCGTTAAGTTCTCGCAGCATCGCCGTAAGAACTCACAGTCAACCTCAGTCTGCTTCAGCTTAGTCCTGGTATAAAATTACCAAAATAACCTTATAAGCGAACAAGATAAACCAGGGGTAAATCGGGAAATCAGAGAGTCTAATTTCTTTACCTTGCTCGTCTGTTCTGAAACCAAACTTCCACTTGTCTTGCTCTTAATCCCAATTGCTTAGCCAAGGCTTGCTTCTGCTTCTGAAAAATACAAAAAAAATTGAAACCACCTTGACTCAGTCTAAATTTACGAAAATGCCATTATACTAAATAAATATTACTAGTATAAAGATGTTTTGAAATTTTTAAGGCCAATGGTTCGATTTATAATCTACACGTATTTAATTAAAATCAATGACGGTAGTTTGAATTTTTCTTTAACTAAATTGATGGAAAGATTTGGTATTTGGTAATACCACAACAAATATCTTTAAATGTGTGGAAACCATAAAACA